CTGTAATCCTGGCACTTTGGGAGGCTGAGGTGGGTGGATCACCTGAGATCAGAAGTTCAACATGGGCCTGGCCAACATGGTCAAACACCTTCTCTACTAAAAAAATACAAAAATTAGCCCAGCATAGTGGTGTGTGCCTGTAATTCCTGCTACTTGGGTGGCTGAGGCAGGAGAATCACTTGAACCCAGGAGGCGGAGGTTGCAGTGAGCTGAGATTGTACTACTTTGCTTCAGCCTGGGCAACAAGAGTGAGACTTCATCTCAAAAAAAAATAAAATAAAAATAAAGTGAAGACTCTCACCTGCCAACGCAGATACTTATAATCCATGTGACCAACAAACAGAGACTTGGTTGTGAACGCATAGGGCTGGACATCCACATCTGCTCTCGTCACCTGAAACAACAGTGAGAACTTTCAGGGTCACCTCACTTCCTCTCTGTGTAAACATGGCATCTGCGTGTTAACGAGACTAATTGTTAGGAAGAAGCCAGAGAAGAACCACCTAGAGAACTAGTTACAATTCAAATTCTGTTTCAATTGCTGTGGGCTGAGGCCTAAAATAAAAAAATAGAAAGGAAAAAACCACAGAAGAAACCTCACATGATACAACTGCGCCAAAACAGGAGTTACCAGCTTTGATAACGGCCTGGTACCTCTCCCTTCACACCACCAGGCCCAGGACTGGGGCATGAGGACGGCATGAGGGCCGGCATTCGGAGGCCAGCCACCGCCTCCCTCACCCTCCCATGTTCTGCCCCACCACCTACGATGCCCGCAGAGTTCTCAGTGATGACAGATGTTCTGTCTGTGCTGCCAAATAGGGCCCACCCATCACATGCTGCCCGCAAACTTTCAGTATGTAGCTCATGTGACTGAGGAGTTGAAATTTTCATTTTGCTGAATTAAACTACAATTTAACAAGCCACCTGGACCAGTGGCTACCACATCAGCCCCACAGCACTGGTTCATTGTGGCAGGTTCAGCGCTGAGAAGCATTGGCAACATCAGGAGAGGGACATCAAAGGAGAGCTTTGCTGGTCACCACGTCATAGCAACCTGTGGACAAAATAAACTTACAAATCCATGTCAAAGTAAAAGTGACCCTGAGGCTGGGTGTGGTGGTCCATGCTTGTAATCCCAGCACTTCAGGAGGCTGAGGCAGGGATGGCTTGAGCTCAGGAGTTTGAGATCAGCCCGGGGAATATAGTAAGACTCCGCCTCCACAAAAAAATTAAAAGACAGGTGTGGTGGCATGCACCTGTGGTCCCAGCTAGTTGGGTAGCTGGGGTGGGAGGATTGTTTGGGCCCAGGAGGTTGAGGCTGCATGCAGTGAGCCATGACTGCACCGCTGCACTTCAGCCCAGGAAAGAGAGCAAGACCCCATCTCAAAAAGAAAGGAAAAAAGAAAAAATTTAAACAAAAGGAAAGGTAAAATTATTTTTTAATTAAAAATATAGTGATTTTGGCACTGAGTAAGCCTTTGACAATTTTCTTGGCACATGAGCTGTGGCTGGTCGTAAATTCACATTTTAAAGTTGCTTTGCCTCTTCCTGGGTCTCTCAAACTTAGCTAAATTTTCCTGAAGCACTAAATGACTGAGTCCCTTAAATGTGACACCTGAATCCTAGTCAGTGAGTACACCCAAGGGAAAAGAGACACGGCACCTTGCCCCTCTGCTGGACCACATACTATTTCATGTGAAAGTTGACACAGCAACCAAGGTGTGTTAAGATCACCCAGAGGCAGCTGCAGATGGGCAGACCCCAGCTCGGGAAGTGTCATCTGCCACTGGAGCCCATCTGGCATCGCCATTCCAGGGCAGGTCAACAACACCCACGAAAACTCTCCAGTTGTCAACAACAATGCACTTATACATCTCAGATTCCTTACAAATTATAGGACACACAAGAACAGAAGTAATGGCTTCTGTAATAGTGATATAAATCTAGAAAGACAAAGTCAGTCCTCTCCAAGAGGAACTCAGGTGTACTCAGGCACTGGGGCCTCTGCAGACCAGGACAGTATTTACTAAAGGACCAACTCAGAGGCCGAAATTATGACCGAGACCATTCTGAATCCCACGCAGTCAGAATACAGTAACAATGATGTGAAACGGCCAGAGGGTTTGCTTTACAATAAAAACCAGACCAACCTTATTGATGAAGCTGGACTTGCCAACATTTGGGTACCCACACAAAAGCAGAGTCCTGGTATTTGGATCAATGGTTGGCAAACGGGATAAATGCTGACGCACTATGAAAAGTTCAAATTGAAAAATTAGACACTCAAAGTTTAAGATTTGGTTTAAATTTTCTTTTCAGCTTAGTTACAGTCCAGGCCTGTGGTGATATTAATCTTACTCCAAGTTTTATAACGCAACAGTGATGGAGAAAATAGTTGCAGAGAGTACAGTATATACACAGTACACTCAGTAGTTATTTCCCAAGTTTGGCTGTACTAAGAATCCTAGTCTGCAGCCCTTCCAAGCCCATATTTTAACTCATTAGGTCAAAGGTGGGGCCAACAGCATGTCTGGAAGTGTCCAGACAATTCTCATCGGCACGATGACATTAGGGAAACAGTGTACTTTGACGCCTGCATGCCATGACGTTCTGGCTGAAACATGGGTTACTGCCATTCAGCCACCTCATCTGTAACAAACACGGCCCCAGGGTGACACCCCTGGGCCATCATGAAGGCCACACAGATCTGCAGGAAAGCATCTGCAAAGCATCTAAGTATCATACATTCCCTTAAAAATTACTTGCAAGATGCAGTAGGGAGACCACCACCAAATGAGTCCAAATAATTTGTCACGTAAGAATACACACAAATAAATAGGCAGGTAATTGTTTCAATAGAATCCTACTATAGTAATTCAGAAAGTCTTACTGAATAAAAGTATTTTTAAAAATAAAAATGTCAATAATAAACTATAAGCCATCTTATTTTTACTTTTTTTTCCTAAGCCGTGTTATTTTTTATACTTTTCAGCATTTTCTCATAATTTTTTGTCTCTATCTTACCTATTAAATATGAAATACATAAACCTTCTTATCAGCGCTATTAATTTGTACATATTATAAGTGCCAGCACTTTTTCAACAGAAACCAGCCTATTATTGTTTCTCACAGGTAAAGCTACGAAAAATAACTGACCCTGTCATCTCCAAACTATGACAAAACAGACACCTCAAGAGTAAGTCCTCAACAAGGACGCATCCTGTCAGCAGGACGCTAACACGGTTCCTGCGGATGCACGACAAGCACCTTGCTCCAAATACTCCAGACTCTGCTTCTGCCTCTTGACCACGGTGCACATCCGCCCCAGGGCCGCACGCTTCAGCTGCTTGCAGCGGTAGAGAGAGTCGCCGTACTTCATCAACCGCACATAATCTTTAGCAACACTTAAAAAAGTAAAAAATGTTAGGTTTCTTTTCACTTTTGATAATAACTTAAAAGACACCACAGTAAAAAAAGTACCTTACTTGTCCACTAAATTTTTGGCAATATTTATTTGCCCCAGAGCCAACTTGTAGTGATCTTTGTCGTACAGAATATTCATCAAATCAGCGTAGAATGGATGAATGTCCTGCAACAAACAGAAGCGTACCACGGTCACTTTGGGCCGGCAGTTTCCATCCCTCATAGAAGTAACACTTGAAGAACAATTTCCTGCCCTCTCTCTTCAAGTCTGCAGTGTCTCCTCCCCAGTTCTCTCTCCAGCCCAGGGGCTCTGTCTATTTAGCCCTCTGGGAAAACAAGCATCAGAAGGGATGCGGGCACCAGTGCTGGCTGCTGCCATGCACCTCCCTCCCAGTATGGCAGTGCAGCTGTGGGGCCCAGCATGACCAGCCCCCACCCTGCAGGCACCCTTCCTGCTGCTCATGAACTCTGCACCAGAAATCCTTCCCTCCACCTGACTATTCCCATCAGCCTGAAAATCTGCTGTGATTTCCCAAACTTTGGGAAAAAAAATTTAAACTCCCGTGACCCCCAAATCCTTCCAATTCCATCTCTTGGTTCCCAAAAGGCACTGTGTCTCTCCTCTCCTCCCTATCTTGTAGCCTCTCTCACCAGAATTCTGTGTCTACCACTCCATCTAAACAGGCTACAAACTCACAAGGACCCCCCAATGACCAACTCTCACATTGTATCTCACAGACCTCTTGAAGCGAAGGGGGCTGCCCACATCCTGCCTGCATCTTCCTCACAGCTTCCAGGGAGACAGTCTGCCCTCTCTAAGTCCTGTGCTGGCTCCTGCTCACAGCTCCACCCGAAACATCCATGCTCCCCACAGCACCCTTCTTCCTACATTCCCTTCCAGGTCATCTCAGAGAGATTTAAATGTTACCTGTATTTTACCAGTGCATTTTACATCAGCAGGCCAGCAGCGTCTCGTATCTCACCAGCGCATATCAACTCAACCCGACTACCACCTCCTCCAATCCCATCTCCCCGTGTTCTCCACCTCCCCCTGCCCTCCAGGGTCTCCGGGACCTCAGGCCACTGCACCTGCTGCTCCTTTGACTAAAGGCCTGATTCCCTCTCCCCAAGCAAATATTCCCCACTCCCCTTCCAAGGCTTCCCTGCATCCAACCGACATGCTGTGTATTTTCACGTTCACTATCTTTCCCCCCACAGAATGAGAACAGGAGCCTTTGCCACTTTTTTATTCCTAGTGCTCAGAACATACCAGACAAATAAGCATTCAATGAATATGTTAATCTAACCCTCCACTCTGAAACTGTCCTCAGATAACTAGTCCTGGCTTTAAAAGAGATAACAGAATATTAATACATCTGAACTCGCCTACCTCTGATGTATATAATACTGAGGATGAAAAAGGTAAAAGTTCTTAAAAAGAACCACAAACATCTGATACTAAGTAGATCAAAGTGTTTCCTAATATCACATCAGTTTAGAATCATCTCCTTTTTTTTTTTTTTGGGGGGACAGAGTTTCACTCTTGTTACCCAGGCTGCAGTGCAATGGCACGATCTTGGCTCACCGCAACCTCCGCCTCCTGGGTTCAGGCAATTCTCCTGCCTCAGCCTCCTGAGTAGCTGGGATTACAGGCTTGAGCCACCGCGCCCGGCTCATCTCCTTCTTAATCACTTTCTTTACCCCCAGGTACTCTCTATCTTTCCCAAGAAACCATCCACTCATTCAAGAAGCATCTACTGAACAACTGCGTCAAACCCTGGAAGTTACAACCTAAGTGTCTGTCCTCTAGCAGGAATTTTTGCCTTTTATTTTAAGCACTTCTGTCTTTTAGTAAGCCATTATTACTTGTTTAAATAAAAAGTACTGTCACAGAAGCCAAGTGTTTCTCTCTGCCTACACCTACCTTCAGGGACTATGCCGGGGCAAGGGTAGATTTAGGCTTTAAGACTGTACTGCTGGTCCCCACACCCTTCACAACCTCAGGTAACCTTGCAGCCGCACTGCCCTATACGCAGTATCAAGGCTTTGTCAGCAGTGCCTGCCAAGCAGTTTCTGCTGTTGCTTTTCTATAGCCAACAGGCAGGCTGGGTATGGTGGCTCAACTGTAATCTCCGCACTTTGAGAGGCAGATACAGGAGGATCACTTGAAGTTAGGAGTTTAAGACCAGCCTGGCCAACATGGTGAAACCCTGTCTCTACTAAAATTACCAAAAATTAACCAGGCATGGTGGCGTGCACCTGTAATCCCAGCTACACAGGAGGCGGAGGCACACGAATCACCCGAACCCAGGAGGTGGAGGTTGCAGCGAGCCGGCACCGCACCACTACACTCCAGCCTGGGCAAGAAAGTGAGGCTCAGTCTCAAAGAAAAAAAAAACAGGCAAACTGCAATGTGTGGCAGAGAAGGGAGCTCAAGGTTTCTGGCTTAATGAAAAAGGCACAGCTCCCCATGTGATCCCTTCTTGCCAGAGAAGAAAACAGTCAGTACTGAACTGACTGACATCCACTAATGAAGCAGCAAGCTCACAAACAGTGGTGGACTTTACGCCACTGACCCAAGCTGAGCCCAGAAGGGAAAAAAACCCTTGAAAAGAGGGTGAAGGAGATGCACCAGTGAGCTGTCAGCTTCTGCGTTCCCTACCCACAGCGACCATTACCACTTGGGTTCGCCCCTGTAAGCCCAGGGATTATACAGAAAGCCTGAGAAGCAGCTTTGGGCCTCCTTAGACAGGGTTTGGTTGGAGGAAAGAGAGAATATTAGAGAATCAAAAAACCCATATTCTGTTCCCACTTTTATTAATTCAACAAGATAGTTCTTTGCCACTAACTTACTGAGCAGTCTAATTACCTTGTCTCCCTTTCTGTCAAATGAGTACACAAAACTGGTTAAACACTGCTTCTCTGAAGGCTCATATTTACATAAACATAGAAGTCCCCCAAGTCACTTACATCCAACTTAGGGAAATCTGTTAGAATTTGTGAAAGTCTATCGTGGTAATTCTGTTGAGTAAATTTGACTTTTCTCATGTAAAAATGTCTAATGCGATGAATTTGGTAATGTTTATGAATAACAGTTGGAGTCTTTCGTTGAGTCTTCGACAACATCAGGTCAATAAAGTCCTGCAATTAAAGAAAATAAGACATAATTAAATCAAAAGTGTCTACTTCTGATCCATTTATTTGAAACCATCTTAAAACACTAACATCTTACGGTACTACGTATTTTAAATTACAAAACTTTACTCTAACTACATATTTTATATACAACCTTGTTCTTCTTTATAGTTTCTGGCCTTTAAGAAACACATGGCTGCTAAGATAAATTTTACCCCATACTTTCTTGATGCTATCTTAATTTCCAAATACCTAAGAACTTTTGAAGCTTAAGTAGTCAGAGAACTCCACCATAAATCAGAAAAAACAGTTGAGAAAAAGAAACAATTCTCCCATTTCTTTACGCACATCTTTGGCTTTGAAAATACATAAAACAACAGGTAAAACTAAAATCCACTGTCTAGAATTTCCTAAGAGCATGGAAGGGGACCATTTGAGGAGATGAAGGATTTCTGCATGAGTTTCCCAGTGCAGAGTCAGCACTTCTCCTTAATAAGGACCGATCCCGAGGATTCCTCAATCCGGTGTATCTAGCCACTCTCTAGGCACACAAAATTATTTGATCTTTTTTCTTGAACACTTTGATTAATTCAACAATTTGATTAACTCAATATTATTTCACACAAAGGTTGTTAGGGATATTCAGGTGCTGAACATAATGAACAAGATACTGTCCCTCCAAGGAAATCAGGGTCCAGTGACAGAAGTAAACAGGTGGCCACGATCGTCTGCCAAGTGTCATACTATGAGGCGCACGCACATTCTCCCCTCTGAGCCTACAAGTGAGACAAGTAAGCTGGTGGTCACAGCAGTCTGCCAAGTACTATGAGGGGCACGCACATTCTCCCCTCTGGGCCTACACAAGGTCTCCCCTACATTCTTCACCTAATGGTGTTCACACATCCTGAAGGAGGCCCAGTTCAAATGTTACCTACTTCATGAGGTTGCCCCTGACTCTCCTACTAACCACAGCTACCTACACTCTTATCCTCTCCCAACCCATGTGTGTCCTCCACGATAACCATGTTTTATTTCTACTATGGTCAAAAGTGATTCTGCTTACCCCTCTTGAAAAGGACTTCCAAAGAGGCAGGTATTCTATGCATTTTTGTAATACAGTACCTGAATGCACAGGACAGGCATTCACTTAGGCTTCTAGAACGAACTGAATCCCACACTTTCCTGATGTGATTATTTTTTTTAACTTCCAATTACCAAACACTAACCATCACCCTTTTCAGATAGGTAAAGTCATCTGTTCTCTAAAAGCACAAATCTCTCCACAAAACAGAAAACGGATGGTGTATTAATATATTCCAAAGTTCTCCACATAAGTCGATTACATTACCAAAGTTCATATAATCCAAAGAGCAAATTCCTTCAACAAACTTGAGAGATGGTTGATCAAATATACAAATATGATTCCTGCACTCGAAAACACTACAATCTGGCTGGGAGTGGTTGCTCACGTCTGTAATCCCAGCACTTTGGGAGGCTGAGGCAAGTGGATCACTTGAGATCAGGAGTTCAAGACCAGCCTGGCCAACATGGTGAAACTCCATCTCTACTGAAAACACAAAAATTAGCCAGACCTGGTGGCATGCGCCTGTAATCCCAGCTACTTGGGAGGCTGAGGCAGGAGAGTCACTTTAACCTCGGAGGTAGAGGTTGCAGTGAGCCGAGATCTGGCCACTGCACTCCACCCTGGGCAACTCCACCCTGGGCAACAAGAGCGAAAACTCAGTCTCAAAAAAAAAAGTCCTGGCTGGGCGTGGTGGCTGACACCTGAGGTCGGGAGTTCAAGACCAGCCTGACCAATATGGTGAAACCCGTCTTTAAAAAAATAAAAAATAAAATAGAAAGTCCTAATGCTCAACACTTTTTGACTCATTCTTTTTTTTTTTGAGACAGAGTCTCACTCTGTCACCAGGCGCCAGGCCCGAGTGCAGTGGCGCGACCTCGGCTCACTGCAACCTCCACCTCCCGGGTTCAAGCAAGTCTCCTGCCTCAGCATCCCGAGTAGCTGGGATTGCAGGCACGCGCCACCATGCCCAGCTAACGTTTTGTATTTTCAGTAGAGACGGGGTTTCACCATGTTGACCAGGATGGTCTCGATCTCTTGACCTCGTGATCCACCCGCCTCGGCCTCCCAAAGTGCTGGGATTACAGGCGTGAGCCACCGCGCCCGGCAGTTGACTCATTCTTGCCACACCAACCAACGCTGTACAAATTTAGTCTGGGCCTGCTACAGTCCGAAAAAGAACAGGGATTCCCAAATCCAACAGTGAAAGAGAACGACTTAAAAACTAAGAAATGTTAAATCACGAGAGCGAAGAACCGAGGCTTCCAAAGAGGGGAGGGGGCTACGCCAAGCCCAGACCCGAAGGCTCATCGCCAGCCACCTAGTGCTCCTCCCTCACATGCCGGGGTCCCCTCCCCTCGCCCACCTCGTCCCCTTTCGGGCCCTCCAGAGACCCCTCCCGTCGGCGGACCTCGATCTCTGGGGGCCCTCAGTCTTTTGGGTGGACCTCGATCTCTGGGGGCCCTCAGTCTTTGGGCGGACCTCCATCTCTGGGGGCCCTCAGTCTTTTGGGCGGACCTCGATCTCTGGGGGCCCTCAGTCTTTGGGCGGACCTCCATCTCTGGGGGC